TCTTAAATTTCTCTGTGTGTAAACTAAGAATAATATGTCCTGTTTGCTTTCTCTAACAGGATCATTTTAAGAAAGAAATGAAATCATGAATATAAAAATATGGAGAGAATTTCCAAGTGCTACAGAGAGTACAAACCTTAAATTCTTTTATGTGAATAATATCAGAAATTGGAAAGTGTCTTACATTTCTTTGGTTTTGAGCTTAGAGGATAATGAAAATATTTCACTAGTGTGTGTTTTATTATTTGTATGACAGTTAATCTCTTTAACTCTTTCAAATGTTTTAGGGATTGATGAACCATTGCACATCAAGAGAAGGAAAGTAATAAAACCAGGTTTCATACACAGCCCGTGGAAAAGTGCATACATTAGACAGCACAGAATTGATACCAATTGGAGGCGAGGAGAACTCAAATCTCCTAAGGTAACTGGACTCTTGCACAGTATAACAGAAACCATTAATCAGTATTAGGACCAGGTATATTATTTCACTTCTTGGCAAGCAGTATAACTTGACACATATCTCTTATAAAAAAGAAAACACTATATTTTTAAAAAGCTGTGTAAATGACAATATTTCTCTATTAATTCATCTAATCTGAAAATTAATTACGGTTGAATAAAAGACTTATTCAATTGCATGTCTTTTGTGTCTGTTAATGAAAGTCTCTAAACATGCTATTAATTATAATTTTGTACTGTATCCATTCTGGAGTCCTGGTGTGGCCCTATAGAATAAGCACTGGACTGCGAACCACAGGGTTGGCAGTTCAAACCCACCAGCCCCTCCTTGGAAACACTATACAGGGCCACTGTGAGTCAGAAAGAACTCAAACTGCTATTCTCTCTTAAGAATTGTCTGCCTTGTGTAACTAACCACATAGTCTGAATGTGAATTTTTGAAGAGTGTCCATGTTTTGGTTTTTGGTGGTGGTTTTGGCATTTTATTTTTAGAAATTTAAGCAGAATTCTCATTTTCTCTGTTTTACAACCTTTCAAATACTTTAAAAATAGTAAAATATGTTTGAAATTGTTGGCTATATTTTTACAATTTAAAAAAAGCAACATGAGGAAATAATGGCATCCTGGTGGGGCACTGTGGGATAAAACACTGGACTGCATGGTCAGTTTGAACCGCAAGGTTGGCTGTTCAAATTCACTAGCCCCTCCTCAGAAATATGCAGGGTCATTATGAGTCGGAGCAAACTCATTGGCACTTAACTACAGCTTGGTTTTTTTCCCTTAAGTTGAAAAACCAAAACCTGTAAATATGTTTCAATCATCTTATTAGGTCTGGGCTTGGTAAAATGTTAATTGCTGATGTTTCATGTATAAATAATAGATAGTGGAAATAACAAAATGTTTACTCTACTTGATTCATCAGCCATAAAGAATTTTATATACATTTTAATTTTAGAAATAGATCATGGGTGACTATTCCTGTGTAGGGCTTCATTTTTCTTTCCTCTGATATTTTAAGGAATATAACATAATAATCTAATGCTGATCTATGCATCTTGCCTTGTAGGTGCTGAAGGGACACGATGATCATGTGATCACATGCTTACAGTTTTGTGGTAACCGAATAGTTAGTGGTTCAGATGACAACACTTTAAAAGTTTGGTCAGCAGTCACAGGCAAAGTAAGTTTATTTGATCACTTTGTACATATTTTTGCACTGATCAACCAGTGAGTGAAAATACAGATTCATTTTTTACTCTATTTTGATAGCAAATATTATGCCTTCTAATTTAGCCTTTTTCCATAGTTGTGAAAGTCCCCTCAGCATGATGGTAATGATATGTCTCATGATTGCGATATTAGTGGTTTAGTCTTCATTTGCAGAGTTTGTCTGTTTTTGTGAATTGCCTAATTTAGGTTTTTTAGGTGTGCTGTATCTTTTCCTTAACTTAATTTCAACCTTTATTAGCCATCTACCTCATTACTTTTAACTCTTTTCAAAATATGATTGAGAGATACTTCGTTTTCTTAGTAAATTGCTTTGTTCGTAAACCCCTCTGTAGTGTAGAAGTTAAAAAATAATAATCATATTAATGAAGTAATCCAAGCAACCAGTTTGACTGCATACAATATTATACTCTAGTAATTTATAGCCTCGGAAACCCTATACAGGGTCGCTATGGGTCAGAATCAACTCCACGGCACATAACAACAACAACAATTCTCTAGTTGTACGTCCTCATCTGAATCAGCTTGAACTTTTGGCAGTTTCAATGTACAGTTGCAGCTGTTTTGTCTTTTTAAGTTTTTATAGTGAATTATGTGATAGTTTACAAGGGAGAACGTTAGCTTTACAATTCATCCTATTGTATATTTTTTCATTGCCATGATTACAGTCCCCTCCATGCATCATCAAACAACCGAAAGGTATACCCCACAAGCCTGTCCCTTGGTCATCAGCACACAACCCCTCTCCCTTTTTCGGTCTAGAGTCCCCCAGCTGCTCCATCTTTCCATGTCATCATCTCTGCCTCCATTTCTGGCGTCACTGCTTCTCTGGGTATGGTCCCGCACTCCGCTTTTCTCCCTTGATGGTCCCAGGGACCTCTATGCAGCTGCTTTTGAATTATCTTTAGCAAAATTTTACTATCAGACCAGGATGTGGAATGAGGGATGTCATTGCTGACTTCAGATGGATCTTGGCTGAAAGCAGAGAATACCCAAAAGATGTTTACCTGTGCTTTACTGACTACGCAAAGACTTGACTGTGTGGCTCATGACAAGCTATGGACTATATTGTGGAGTATGAGTATTCCAGAACACTTAATTGTGTTCATGAGGAGCCTGTACATAGACCAAGAGGCAGTTGTGTGAACAGAACAAGGGAACACTGAATCATTTAGAATCAGGAAAGGTGTGTACCAGGGTTGTATTTATTTACTATACTTATTCAGTCTGTATGCTGAGCACATAATCGGAGAAGCTGGATTATATGAAGAAGAACAAGGCATCGGATTGGAGGGAGGTAATGTAATGATAACACCCATGCTTGCTGAAGAGGACTTAAATACACAGAAAGTGAAGAGGACTTAAAATACACAGATTTCTGTATGGATTGTACATCAATGTAAAGAAAGCAAAAATAAATCCTTATCACTGGACCAATAAATAACATCAAGATAAATGTAGAAAAGATTGAAATTGTCAAAGACTTTAGAAAAGATTGAAATTGTCAAAGACTACAGTTTGCTCAGACCAACCATCAACACTCATGGAAGCCGCAGGCAAGAAATTATATGACATTGTACTAGGCTAATGTGCTGTACAAGAAGATCTCTTTAATGTGTTCAAGAGCCAAGGTGTCAGTTTTTTGAGGACCAAGCTGCACCCGATCCAAGTCATGGTAATTTCAATAGTCCTCATATGTACGTGAAACTTGGACAGTGATGAAGGAAGACCACAGAACAGTTGATGTGATTGAGTTATAGTACTGGAGAAGAATATTAAAGGTACCATGGACTACCAGAAGAACAAACAAATCTATGTTGGAAGAAGTACAACCAGAATGCTCCTTAGTAGCCAAGATGGCAAGACTTCCTCTTCCTGGAGAAAGGTCATCATGCTTGTTAAAGTGGAGGGTCAGCACAAAAGATGGAGACCCCCAACAATATGAATTAGCACAGTAGCAGCAGCAATGGACTCAAGCATAGCAGCAATTGTGAGGATGGCACAGGCCAGGAGATGTTTCGTTCTGTTGTGCATAGGATCTCTGTGTCAGAACTGACTCGATGGTACCTAACGATTGTCTAATGGAAACTTGTTTTTGTCTGTTCAATGCAGAATATTTTCCTAATTAAGTTACTGACCAACTAAAAAAGTAATAGTAATAAATGCAGAGAACAAAATTCCATGATTTATAGAAGTCTTTTTTTTTTTGTAGCTTCATGGGCAAAAATCTAAACATTCCAAATCTGACGTTTAAAATTGTGAAGCAGCTTTATATTTCCATGGTGTAATATTAGTTTTGGATTTCTTTCAGGGTTTTAATGTCTGTCTTTACTTGTCTAGAAGTAGCTTGGCTGCCTCCTAACTACTGCCTTGGGGCAGATTCACATGAAATGTGGTATGTAGCCACACCCAACACCATTGGCATGTTTTCACTGACTCTGTTTCTATGGAAGAAACCAAGTTTCAATATTAGTATTCTTTCATCAGAGACCTGGCTGGAGCTGTCACCCTTTAGTGAGAATGTTTGCTTTCTGTATACTTTCTTTCCCCTCAGTATGTAGTGCTGCTGAATAAACAAAGCAATAAGCAGTGATGGGATTACGTTGTATTGATGGGCAAAACTATTTTCTGATGGGCCAAGCAATCAAATTGAGTAAATAACTTTATTGCAAATTTTAATGACCTATTAAAATGCCATTTAAATTGTTTTCCCCTTCAGTGTCTGAGAACATTAGTGGGGCACACAGGTGGAGTGTGGTCGTCACAGATGAGAGACAATATCATCATTAGTGGATCTACAGATAGGACTCTCAAAGTATGGAATGCAGAGACTGGAGAATGTATACACACCTTATATGGGCATACTTCTACTGTACGTTGTATGCACCTTCATGAAAAAAGGTAAGAGGAGATCTCATGGTGTTTGGGATTTCTTCCTCTGTTGCTAGTGAATTGGGGGGCCTCTTTGTTTAGAGTTCAGTTTGTGTAATGTTTTCTGTGTCTCCTGGTATGTAGCTATCGGAGAAGCAGTAGACCGAAAGGTTGGTTTGAACTGCAAGGTCGGTGGTTCCAACTCATCTGCTGTTGCTTGGAGACCTTATAACAGGGTCTCTATGAGTCAGAAACAATTTAACGGCACTTAATAACAACAACAGCAATCAAGAGAGAGATAATATGTTCTTAAATTA